TCTACCATTTGTTACACACAGGACCATATCATTACCTTTTTTACCTGGCAGGCAGTAAGCAGCTCTAGCGTGGTAAGCTTCAGTGTTACATGAAAGCAGGCAGGCAGTGGTGTGGCTGTAATAAGACCTGTGGCCAGCACCACTGCCAAGGCTAGCTGAGGAAGGGTGAGAGATGGTGCCCATCCCCTACATGCCCCGCTCTGCCATCTGTCACTGGGCAGGAGTGGTGCCGAGGGAGGGGTCTGAGTCACTCTAGTTGTTGTCACCTAGACAGGCCACACTGGGGCATGCTGTCTCTTTGTACTCCCTTTCAGGCATTGGCACAATGCTCTGTGAGTTCACCATGCAGTTATGCAGTTTTTGTGCAAAACCAGTTTAATATGATTATTCAGTTATTCAGTGTTCTTTACTTTTTGTACTTCATTAATTAAAAAAGAAAAAAAAGTGTGTGTAATGGAGTGTCTCAGTGATAAAACACTCCAAGTAAAATAGAGCTATAACAATTAGCTGATTAATAAAGCCACACAATCAGTGCTAAACCATGATGTAACAGTGTACACACTGTCTCTTTAAATGTTCTCTGAGTTTATGTTTGACATGGGACAAAGGTTGTCACTTTTTTTTTGTTGCCAAGATCCCTGATTATGTCATTTCCTGGCTGATGGTATGTATGCGGAGAAGGAAGGGGAGGGGTGGTGGTGGGGGAGAGCAAAGGGAGGAGAAATGGGGTCAAGCAAGCTTGTGCGTGCATTCGGTCAGCATTCATTGCCAACAAGCATGCAAAGCGCAGGCATCCACATCCATACAAACATGTCGTGCCTACAAAAACATACACCCACACGAACCTATAGGAACACACGGACAGATGGGAAGTTCAAGCAGTGAGGCTGAACAGCAGCTTCACAAGATCAGAAATAAGAGATCTTGTTGCTGATTCAGACAGTGTCAATGATCTCACTTTGGCGAACACTAGCGCAACAGAAAGTACTGCTTTGTGTGTGCTATGCCTTTTGGAGTGAGTGATTCACCACTTACTTACTGGCCGTTTTCCCCCTACCTGATAACCAACGTGTCTGGATATTAGACTTATAACAAGCATTATTAATTCTCAGAAAGACTTTGACTGGCTATGCGATAAGTCAGTATGGTTGTTTTGAGCAATAATAGGAAAAAATAACACTGTAAAACTGATGATTACTCACTCCAATCCTTTTTGTTACCAACAACCTTCATCATGACACACTTGCTATGTTGACATTTTTTCTTTCTTTTTTTTGGCTGACTGAACACAGAGGTCTGCTTTAGACACAGTTGCACATCACAATAAAAGGTAGGGAGCGAGAGATCTGGAGGGGAGAGTGAATGTTGTAGAAGCAGCGATGATATACTCTTTGTTGTCTATGGTGAGGAGAAAAAAGAAAGGGAGCTGGGAGCCGCTGTGTGTGTCTTTGAATGAGGTCAGGGCATCATGGGGAATAATGCATTTCCCTTCTCTTGCGCCAGGCGCTCCTCCCATTACGGCTGGAGAAGAGACATTGTGTCCACACTCTGATTACCACTGATCCATGCTGATGACTCTGTTGGCGGATTATCTCAGTTAGTATCAGCCATCTGTTACTGTGTGTATGCGTATGTGTGTGTTTTGTGTGTGCATTGAAGGGGTGAGGAGAAAAGGGGCAGGAGACACACATACACAGGAGGTTGAATAGTTTGAAGATGCGACACACACACACACACACACTCACACACATACGTGCCCACAAACACTTCCATAGGCACATGCATTGGGAGTCTTTTGTTAAACCGCCGCATGTGTAACAGAGCACCGCTACATACACGCAGCACAGACACACAACACCACAAAACAAATGCATGATGTAAGGCCGCGATACCGAGCAGCACGGGCCACCAAATGCACTCACACTATCTCTCCTTTATTCCGCCCTCCTTTCAGATCACACTGACGTGTGAAGGCTCCTATATGAAGGCCAAGTGCAATCATAAAACTGCAGAGCTGTTTATAGCTACACTATCTCCTGAAGGGCCGCTGCGTCTAACCACTATTAGCCGCATGCGTTGACAGCTGGGTGCTGTGTTGTATTTGTGGACGTGACTGCGAATCCGGTGCTGGAACACATCTTATAAATCATAGTTCAGCTATTAGCATAAATTCTCCCTCTCCTTGCATCTGCGAGACCTGCTGTTTCTGGTTGCGGCGTTCTCTGTTGATTGGTTGGTGTTGTTCAAGTCAAATTGATTTAGCCGTTCACGGAGATTATAACGCTTGCCTTATACCGCCACTGTGGTGTGCCGTTAATTACCTATAAAATCAAGCTAATTCTGATGCTAAATCCATTTTAATTTCTCATAATTAAGTCAGGATTGGATCCTTAAATACCTTGGCGCTCCATTATTGTTGCAATCATTGTTGTTGCTGTGCATTTGGTGGTACATTGCTGAGCCCAATCTTATTATTGTTATTAGATTTAATTGCTCTAAGTGATCAGTTTGTAGTTGTCAGAGGAAGATGGACTCGCCCCGCAGTCGTTTCTTTCCCCCCGCTGTCCTTTCTCTCTCTCTCGTTCCGTCTCTCATCCCAGGAAGAGGCCCTTTGAGAGATTGTGAGAGATGAGAGGAGATGAGGGGGAGGGTAGCTCTGCTTTACACCTCTGCAAAGAAGGGATTGCTTTTTTGTTGTTTGTTAGGGGGGGAAATCAATTCTGTTCACATCATCACGTTTTGACAAGGCGAGGCATTAAGTGCAGATATTGAGAAACGACAGAAATGGTTTACAGGCTGTCCTTCATCTTCTCCACTCTTTCCCTTTCTTCTGCCTTTCCCACCTCCCCCCATACCCCCTCTACACCCCACAACAAAATCAGAGTATATTGTCTTGCTTATTCCTTTTTCCTTCTCAATCTCTCAAACTCTCTTTCCCTCCCTCTGTCTATGTTTCTCCCTTCCTGTGAAAAGGTAGGGAAATGATCCGCTTCACTTACCAGCTGACACCACGTAAGCCTGATCGTCCTCCGAGACACAAGCCTTTTGTTTTCATGTGCATTATGATAATTATGAAGGGCCACAGCTCCTCTCCATTTTCACAACACTTTTGATGATACTTGCTTTTTTTTTTTTTTTTTTTGGCCAGACGCAAATACAGAAAAGTCACTTTTTCTTTAAATCTTGTGAAAGAATCCTTTTTCCATTTTTTTTCTTTACACCCTGACCTGACATTTAAAAGGTGACAGCCAGAGTGAAGGAGCATAGAGTGTGACAGCCATTCATGCAACAAAGTGTGGCACAGAGGTAACAGTTTTTTATTTGGTGCGGGTGGGGTGGGTTTGAAATTAGGATAAACTCCCCATCTTCACTCAGCTGGAAATGTATTCTTGTAACTAACATGTAACATTCATTCACTGCCCGTTTAGGTTGATAATTTGTCTCTTTAACCCACATCCTGTCACCTCGCGTGAGATACAATTCGAAGGACCTTTGACCTTGCTCTTATTTGCACAGCCAACCTCTTTTTCACTGCAGCAGTGGCGGGGATGGCTGCCCAAGTCCGATGGCACACCAGCCTCCTCCCCGTGGACTGCAGCAGGTTTTCTTGTCATCCGCGTCTCTCTCTCTCTCTCTCTCTCTCTCTTGTCAGTGTTGCTCCTGGCGAAAGGCTGATACTTGATATTCAGAGGATAGCAGCTTTTGTCTCAGAGATTTAATCAGTGGCTCTGCTCCCACTGCAGAGGAGAGAGGGAGGGAGGGAGGGTGGCGGAGGGGTGGCAGGAGCGAGAGAGAAGGCGAAAGAGAGAGGGAAAGAGAGATGGAGGCAGAGACTGTTTATGTGTAATGACACAATAACAAAGCCTGCCTGTAAAACACAATCTGCAAACTGTGCTTTTGAAGGGGATTTTCAGTCCTGGATTAGTGTCAGGCAGAGGGATATGGAAAAAGAGAAGAGAGAAAAAGAGTCAGGTTGATGTGATAGACAGGGGAGGTGATTTTTGTGTATGTGTGTGTCTGTCGGCAGTGGGGGCTGTAATGTGTGAACGTGTGTGTGTGTCAATGTGTGTGTTTTATATTTGTTTGCCTCCACAAGTCAGCGGTTGTGTGGGCATAGCCACATTGTGTTCTCAGTTGTAAGCAAAAGGGGATTAGAGCTGAATAATGTAAGTAAAATATTTGGCTGCAGAATGGCCAAATGTTTCTTGTGAGGGTTTGTGTTGTTGGTTGGTTGATAATGGCTGGCATGGTAACTCTGTGAAACCGATAATGGAAAAAAGCTACCGTGTTGGTTAATGCACCAATCATCTAAAAGCCTATCCATTTAGTTCTGGTTCCAAGTGAAAGGAGGCAGAGAGTAATGCTGTCTTTAAAGGCCTCAAAGAGCTCTTTTAATTTGAATGACTTTTTTTAATTTTTTTTATCAGGAATGTGTAAAGGGATCCTGTTTGTAAAACGCAGGTACAGACATGTGTGAGTTTGCACACGCTTCTGAGTCCCCGCGAGTGACAGGAAAAGTGACAAATATGTTATTCGTCTATGTTGTGTTTGACATTTTGCCTAACCTTTGTCATTTCAACTGTCCCACTTCAAACTCACCAGAGCAAGTTTCTTGTAAAAAGTGGCCGTCCCGCTGTGGAACAGATTCTCAGCAGGGGCATGTTCCTGCATCAAAATGTGAAACCTGCTTTGTTGTCCCTTATCAGAGTCCTTAAACATGTCATCCTCCGTCCTACCCCATATTGAATCAATAGAGGCTGGGAGCCAGTGAGCATGGCTAAATGGAAATATTGTTCAGGGGAAGTGAGATGTGAAAGGAAAAGTGTCAGGAGGTATGTGTGTGTGTGTGTGTGGTTGCTTGTGCATGGGCGTGCTCGAATGTGTGTGTTGGAGGGGGGCACAGTATGCAGTTGTGTGTACGCATTTAAGTGTGTGTTTGTCAGTGTACGGGTGGGTGTTCTTTCCTATTGTAACCCTGCTGATTGGATTGTGTTTGACAGATATGGAGTCTGGAGAGCGGCTGGTCTCCCCTGCGCCCACCCTGTCTGCTGCTCGCACCTCCTCCCCTGCGGCCTCTTCCTCATCCTCTTCTTCTTCCTCTTCGTCATCACCTGCTCCGCACTCTAAGAGCAGCCTGGCCCCGAGCCCCTCAGCACTGGGATCCACCCTCAGCGCCTCTGGTAAGAAACAGTTGTGTCAATCTTCTGTCTCTGAAACCGTGCGTACAGAGGAGGAAAAATACCAACACACGGTGCAAACAGTTTTCACATAACCATAACAAGATGCCCCGAAATATGGCCGCCTTCATGTCTCGATAGCATTCAGAATCTTCCTCATTTCTTTACCATGAAAAATGAGTTTTTTCCAGTGTTAATTACACAGTTATTTTGCAGCCGGTGTGAATACACCTCTCTTCCAGTTACATGGATTTCTCTTTTTTTTTCCTGACAGCTTGGGTTGCAATTGAAAAGCTGCTGCATTAATGAATCCCAAACAATTAGGGGGCTCTTTTGTGTGAGAAACACACACATGCTTCGCCATGTCTCCTGACAACCTTCAGCTCTCTGGCTCCAGCTGCCTCGGAGTCAGGCTCAGCACGCCACTGTGCATGGATGCATGTGTGTGTGTGTATGTGTGTGTCTGTGTGTGAGAAAGAGAGAGAGAAAGAGCCTCTGCCTGCATGATTTAACATTTGTTAGCCACTCAGTGTCTAGTCATCCCTGTCCAGCATCCAGCCGCCTTTCTATGTATTGGTCAAAGCCATTAGGCAAAGAGGAGTGTGTATATATGGTGTGAGTGTGTGTATCTGTTGTATCTCAGTGTGTTTTTCAAATATCCCTTGTGTGAGAGTGAATCATTTGCTCATACTTTCGTTTTCCTCATCTCTTAATGTCTTGCTGTTTTTGCTGGTTTTTTTCGTAGGCCTGTTATGTACACACACACACACACACACACACAAACACACGCACAAACAAAACCACCATCGCACTGAGTAGGGAATAGGATATCTAGCTTTCTCCATGATTGTCGTGTTTTCTCTCTGTTACGAGAAAAGGAAGAAGTAGAGAGGATAGAAAATGAAGCCTGTTGTTTTGTCCTCCATATCCTCAATGTTGCCCCAAAGAAGAAGCCATTAGGAGTGTCTCCTTCTTATGCATTATAAATCCCTCTTATCCCTGTGTGCCATTACGCGTGCTCAGATTTTCTAGATAAGCGATTTTGGACTGAGCATCAAATGAAATGCTGAGAGGCAGACTGTTAGCTCTGAACTTTTGCTGTGCTTTGTGGGAAATCAAGCAAGCAGTTCGTCTTCATTTCACACACAGCGCCTTGTTCAGTGTGTGCGCGCTTTAGCTCAAACTTGTAGTGGAGTAAAGCAACTTGAATCACAATTAAAAGCAAAAACATTCTCATGCAGAACAGCAAGAACATGTCAAGTGTATATTGTGAGCAGATACCATCGGTATAAATATATGTTAATACCGATATAGAATCATCACAGACTGTGCGGGCATCGATTCATCGTCCTTTGCCTGTGTGCCAAAAACACTTACGAAAAAGAATCTTAGGAACGCATGAAAAAGTTAAAGAAAAAAAAAAAGAAATACATGGACTCCTGTTTATGTGTGTGTGCATGTGTCATTGATGAGGATATCACTTGGAGAATAAAAGCTGATCTGCGCTTGTAGCACTCTCTCCTTCTGGGATCAACTCACGGATGCAATTAACTTAAATCTGTCTGTGGAAATTTGATTGACTGCAACAAACAACAAATTAATCCCCCTTCGGCAGCATCCAAACATGAAAAAAGCAGGCGGTGCAGTTTGTCAGAGTGGAGGAAGGATTGAAACAGAATGAGAAAGAGGGCGAGGGAGCGGGGGAGGGGGGGAGGGGGGGGGAGAAAGGGGGGGTGTGAGGAAGAGCGAGTAGGTAATCCAAGGTATGTCTTTCCCGTGCCTCTTTCTCGATTCAAATTTTTAGATTTAATTATTCGCCTTCTGGAAGCCCGCATTAATATTGAAAAGGCATTTGCAGATGTCACTTTGTGTTGCCTAGAAAAGAAGGGGGTGTGTGGGGGGGGGGGAAGAGAGGTGTGGGCACCCCAGGCATAAGCGAATGCTGTGGCTGGCCTTTCTGGGGGTTGCATTGCAGTCGTTTATCTTCGTATCCACTAGCTGACACTGGCAAGGCGGGCTCTACATATTCAGCATATTCTAATGCCATTCAAAAGGCAGATTTTGCTGTCTTGTGGCAGAGAAGGGCCTTGGCACCAACACAAAGGGCTATACTCTCATCCTGCCAGCGCTCCTGGTATGGCCACATACGCGCAAACAATTTGATTCACACTCATTTCATAGTCTTCTCCACTGTTTTGTTTTGTTTTGTGCTATAAAGCACATGTAACTGGCCATACTAATAGACCATGTACTGCATTAGCTCTGAAAACACTCCTCTTCCGTGTCACTCTGCTTTACATTTCTGTGTGCATGTGTATAGTAGTTTGACATTTTCATCCGCACTGTGCACAACACTTTCCTTTTCTTCAGTCATCACTTTTTCTTCCTTTTTTTCTTTCTTTCTTTTTTTTGCATGTGTATTACCTGGCTTATGCAGAGGCATCAAGCAGACTTGCTCTCCTTTTCTGGAATAGAAATTGAATTTGCATGAAATATGCTCACACCAAATTGCATCTGACTCTGGGAGGAGGTAATACGTGGCAGTCGCCCCTGCCAGAAATGATTGTGCTCAGGAAAACGCTAGACGATGATGATGTTGATGAAGTATTCTTCTCTGCTGAAATTGAATGCCAAAAGGATAGAAGGAGGTTAGCTTTTACACCGTATGCATGCTCCTCTTTCTCTCACCGGGACTATCCAGTCTTTGTTACCGTGTGACATATTCTGACAGTCATTTTAAACCAAAAAAAAAAAATTGCTATAAACAAGTGGCTCTATGCCAGAATAGGATTATGACAGCATGGTCTGTAATCTAAATGTGCATGTTTCATGGTATATGCGTGAGAGTCACATTGAAGTGCTGGTGTGTCAGGCTCAGAAACAGTACGGCTGCCGTTTAAATTTAGGTGCAACGAGCACTTTGTGAAAGCAAAACTTGAAGTTAATTCTTCCACACACTCAGAAGGCAGTTGTTCTGTATTTAATTCCTCTATAGTCAGGTGGATAAGAAGCGACATCTTCAAAAGCTGTTTAAATCTAGTTTTTACACTCTGTCGATTCCTACATCAAGAGCTCAGAGATGTAATTGAGAATAGTCTTCTCAGTCTGTGCAAATAAACATACACAGAGCTAACAGTAGGGCAGTAAGGTGTAATAAATAACTGTCAAACCAGCTGTGCAGTAATGTCAAAATTGAACTTTACGTAACACAAAGTATTAAATATGTACAAGTAGTAAAATTTAGTCCTAAGCATTTTTGTCACTTCAAAGCAAAATTTATTCTTCTGCGTGGAATTCATCTTTTAATCCTGTCGTATAGGAGTTGTTTGTCACTATCTCAAACTGAAACAACTGCTTTAAAAAGCTGTTTAATACTATCAGCTATCAGGAACAGAATAATACCCGTAACGAATTAGCAACTTGTCCTCTTAACAGCTGTTTACTTACTTTGTTTTATTTTAACATCTGAAGATCTGGCGGAAGTGCATCATTTCTCCTTTTACAGGACAGTTTCTGGTAAAGGGAACATGTCAATCTTTAACTTAAAATTAGATCAAATGGTGAAAACATTTCTGCACCTGTTGCTTTGTTTCACTGTGCCACTGAGCTCTTATCCACACCCTTTTAGTGTGGAGTGTACTTTAAAACATTTGGACATGTCCTTCTTGGTTCGGATCTACCTTAGGCCGTCTGTTTGGAGCAGCAGGAGAGCAGCCCTTCATTGGCTCCACATTGTCAAGTGCCTTCCCTCTGGTCAACCACCCAGCATTTGGAGCCCTCTACACTGCCGGAGCAGGCAGGCCGGAGTTTGGAGGCCTGGGCTCTCTAGGCATGTCAGCTGCTCTGGCTGCCCATCCCCAACTAGGAGCCCTCTCTGGTAAGAGGATGACATTTGAATTGTGGGTAGCAGTTGGTTAAGGGGACTATACCTTTAATCTTCTCCTCTTGTCTCCTCTCCTCTACTTTCTGACCCGACAGAGTGGTGGCGAGCTGCCGAAGCCCATGGACGGGGAGCTGCTGCCTTTCTCCCCTCTTTCATCGGCTTTCCCCCATTCTTCGCCCCTCACATTCAGTCCAATCACAGCGCCAGTCCTGTTCCGATCAGGATGCCCGGCAAGAATAGCCATGCTGCACCTAAAGGTACAGCGCTGTCCTGGGAGCTTATTTTCATTGCTCAGTCTTCCCCCTACCCCTCCCATAATCACTATCTGTGCATCTTCCTCCACAACCTAAATCCACTTTGCCCTATGATGAGATTTCTCTTTTTCGAGCCAGATTTAATGACTTTCAGTCCTCACTTAGTGATTCTGTTAACCTCTATCTCCCCGCTCTTTCCCTCATGTTCGCTCTCGTAATCTCTGTTTCTGGCACTCTTTTAATTTCACAGTATCTTTTAATTTATCTTTTATTATGTAAACCACTCGTGTTGGGCTTGTGCCTCGCACAGCTCGCATGTTAGATGAGATACATGTATAAATCAATATTTTTATTAGCCTTATTTCAATCTGCTGTTAGTTCCACATATTCCATTATCGCTTGTTGGAAAGTTCTTAGGAGAGATGAAGCTGATTAGTAATACAGCAGAATTTGTGTTTCTAGGGGTGAATGGTGCAGTGAATGGAAGCGGGGCCTGCCCTCCTGTCACACAATCAGGGAGCTTTTCTGCGAGTCCGGCTCCTGTTCAGGCACCAACCAAGCCAACCAAAAATTCAGATCCTGCTAATAGCCAGCGTCGCAGCCCTCAGAACAATCCCACAGAGATGGTGGAAAAGACGACTCAGAAACCTAAAGAGAAGGTCAGTGCTGAGATCAAAATTACTCCTTAATTTGAAATAAGCCCGTTTGTGTTGCATAGTGAAGCTGATTTTTACAATGTTTTGTTTTTTTTCTCAATTCAGAAACCAAGGAAGAAGACAGCTGACACTTCTGTGGTGAGCAATAGTGAATCAGGCACATCATCAGACAGCTCAAGTGACGGGTCCCTCAGCAGTGATCTGGAAGACCTAGCAGAGGATGATGAAGACGATGATGACGAGGACGAGGACGACGAAGAGGAGGACAAACACAGCGAACTGTCTGACACAGAGAAGCGGACAAAGAAGAAAACAAAGGTAAAGAGGAAAAGTTAAAATGAGTAAAAACATTAGGAAAGTGAAGGTGAAAAGAAGGAGGCCACTGCGCCCTCAGCTGCTCCACATGGTGCACTTGACTGCACTTGGTGCGCAGTGCTTTCATTCACTAAAATAGTGCCCACAATGTTGAATGAATTAAAATAAATTATCACATACCACAGAGAAAGCCTTTGTTCAAACAGTTCTTTATTTCATGCCCGCACCAGGTTTTGATACCCAGCACTGGAACTGCAAAGAATGACAGACCACTCTCTGGGGATGCCAACAGAAAGAAAGGCACCCAGGCCCAAAAGGTCCCCTCCAATCCCCCGACCCTTGTGCCCTTACCCTGCTCTGTCTCTCCTCCCGCCTTGTCCCAAACCTCACCGCTGGCTCTTCACAGCTCCAGGTCCCGGACAGAGGGACCACAGCAACACTTTAGTGTGATCCAGTCCACTGGCCTGGCTGCCAACTCAAAGCCCCTGGCACTCCTCACTCAACCCCGCAGGGAGTCGTCACCGTCTTCCTCCCCCATAGCTCTCACCACATCTCCAAAGGCACCGTCCAGCACCGCTTCGCCCAAACCTCCCAAGCTGCTGCCCTCCAACTCCCCTCCGCACCTTCCCCTCTCCCTCTGCTCCTCCCCTAAGCCTCTCTCAGTTCCCTCTCCACCCCGCTCGACTCTCCCGATGCCTACCTCCCCAAAACCTTTTGGTTTGACCTCATCTTTAACAAGCTCCCAGAAGTCCTCACTGAAGCCACCAAAGCACTCTGTCTCTGGCACCGCCAAATCCAACAAAAGGAAACTTTTGGAAGCTTCACTAGCGCAGATCAATGAGTTCAGGCTGCGACAGGTAAGCCTGCCTGATAACATCAGTTAAATAATGTCATTTACGCACACAGTATCCTGTGAGAAAAATATTGCTTCACACTCCGCTTTACTGATCAAAGTTACTAATAACAAATTGACAATAATGACATTATTCAGTGGAGCTGAGTACGCAGTCAGATCTGCAGTTCTGTTTATCTCTTTTCCCTCATCATTACCATACCATAACCAGCCTCTCTCTCTCTTTTTAAAAAAAAAAATCTGGTGGCTGTTTTCAATTTTTTTTAAGACAGAATCCAAACAGCTTCCAGACGGCTACAGATCTGTTAGTGTAGCTGCGCAGTCAATTAAAAAGAAAATCATAACTGTTACAGTTTCTCTTACATACCAGTCTGGGATTTTATATCAAAGGGAAACAAGTGCCAAACAGCCTCATCAAAATTAACATGGCCTGGAGCTGAATCTCACAGCTGCAAATGGACATCAGTCAGCATCTTTGTTTTGTATAGTAGATGCATTACTTTTTTTCTTTTTCTCTTTTTACTTTTGCACTGGGATTGTCATAGAACAACAACTAAACATCTAAGCTATCTGGATACAAATGTGACAAATTAAAGGAAAACAAAAAAACGGCGATTGATTCTGTGCAGTAAGGGAATCTGTTCAGCCTCTTATGGTATGAAGGTTTTTTGCTGGCACTGTGGTCCACTTGTCCTTCTAGAGGGCACGTCAAGGTCACTGTGAGTCAATACAAAGTTGCTCTGAGTGGTTATCTTTATCCTATCATTAAAACAAATTGAAAAGGATGGCAATTCTCACTCGATGGGACAGAAGGCATCACCGAATGGTTTGAAGAGTATGAAAATGATGTGAAATTATATGCTGTGATCTTGACAGTCACTAGATCTCAATCGAAATGAATAACTCTAAGGATTTTGGGGCTGACATGTGCAAAACACCAAATAGTGGAATATCTTTTGGAATATATGTGAGTTTCTTTTAAGTAGACCCTAGCACAAAGTGTTTGCTTTATGGTAGCTTTATGCTAGTTTTTCCAATTATTTTGTGTTATTACCCAGAAGTTTCTTTTTTATCTTTTGTGCGAATGTCACGAGTTTCTCTTATGATGTGGCGAGAGGAAAAAATGCTTGCATCAAACTTTATTGTCATCGCTGCTACTGTGAATCATGATATTTGTACAAAGGGGTAATTGCCAGTTATACTGACCATCAGAAGTATTCAAAACATTTTTATGCAGGAGTTTTACTGTTATCCTACAGTGTTATAGTAAAAGCACAGGAGACCTTTCAGTTTAATTTAGCACGTATGTTGATAAAGATTTCCTTCCAGCTTTCATAGTGTGTTGGTTTATTTGATGATCACTTCCGCAGCCAGTAGTTTGCAGTGGATGCTGGCCAAGCATGCTTTATTAAGTTAAAATCTCCTCTTTTATGAACATTGACTTTTTAAATTTTTAAACGTTAAAAATTTTAAATCAGATTTTTCAGAATTTTCTGACTAATTTGCATTGGGTACGTTTAGCATACTCCTGTAGAGATGACACAGATAATGCCTTTAGTCTTGTTACTTTCCTGAGGCAACCATTGCTTGTGCACGGATTCCACTGTATTATTTATGAGTTTCCCGATTTCAGATGAAATACTGTAAAAATTGACATTTGTATTTGCTTTTCACTTCACAAATTCGATTTCTCCAGATGAAATATGAACGACAGCACCGTGATCAATAAGCTAAACTTATTGGGATCAGCGTATTCATTTCCCTTTTTGTTTTTACCAGTATAGAGAAGTTTACAGCAAGCCGAATTCCCCCTGTGGTTTTCAGCACTGTTACTGTATTTCATGGTCTGTGAAATTGATTTGTTTCACTTCATATCACATCCAGTTGAAAGTGCAACATTAAAGTCTAACCTGCCTTTGCTTAAACACCGATTGAGCCAAGCTGGTCCTCGCTGTGAAAAAAACAAAAAATAAAAATAAAAAAACAAGCCAAAACAAAAAGGCAAACATGTCTAGCTGTATGGTGATAATGATGATGGAGCTTTTCAAATGTGCAGACAAGTAATTACAATTTTAGAGAGATACACAGTGTCTCTTTTCTGTAAACTTGGCTGAGAACAATGCCTTTGGTTATTGCATTTATGTTCTTTTTGTTTCCCTAAAAGAAGCTTAGACACAGTTAACTGTACCAGTGTTCAGCATTGTAGTTTTGTCACCTGCTCAAACAATCAGCAGTGATGTGAACTGACAGCTAAAGCAACTCTACTTTGTCCCATTTCTTTTCGGTTTTTTTCCCTAACCTTTCTTTGTTGTTCCCATTCTGTTTCCCTCTCTGTCCCTCCCTCTGACTCCATACCTCTCCTTGTTCTCTGCCTCTCTCCTCCTCCTCTGTTCCCAGACTCTCATGTCCCAAGGGCAGACGTTCCCAGCTGAGCTAAAGAAGCAGCAGCAGGGGCCAAACAAATCTCCCAAGAGGACATCTCTGTCTTCATCGCCATTGCCACTCGTCCCGCCTCCTCCACCCCAGAACAATCACTCCAACCTCTTCCTCTCAAGTGCCCTGCTGGGGCTCCCTGAACCCCATCACCCAAATGGAGTCATCCAAAGCACCACTCAGGACGCACCTTTGGCCCTCATCTCCAAACCTCGCAAAGACTCTGCCTCTCAAAGCAAGTCCCCTCAGCGTGACACTGATGCTGGGTCGATGCCTGTCAATCTGAGCACAGGGGCAAACAGGACCCAGGCAGCCGGCCAGGCTGGGCCTCCGTCACAGCCCTCCACTACCTCACCCCATGCTACAACAGGCCATGGATCCAGAAAGAACAAGACCGCCAAGGGGAAGGGACAGACACCAGGACTAGGACAGGGACAGGGACAAGCAGACCCTTTAGCTGCCTGGAAGGGCTTCTCTCAGAACCATCTGGTGCAGTCTCTAGTAGATCTGTTTCGAGGAGGAGAGTCCGGGATTGGGATTCCTGGAGTTAGTATCCCTGGAGTTGGAATTCCTGGAGTGGGGATCCCTGGGACATGTAACCCCACAGCTGGGCTCCCAGCCAACAAGGAATCTGATGACTCAGGAGATGATGATGATGAGGAGGATGATGATCTTGAGGAGGAAGAGGATGAAGAGGACTCAGATGATAGTCTGTCAGGTTGGTACCTTCTACGGCAGTGAATGTAACTTTCACAATTAAAAAAAGGAGCTAAAGATAAAAATCAGGGCTGACAGCTAACCACTATATTAATTACGGATTACTCTTCTAATTATTTAGATTAGTCAGTCAGTTTAATACCAGTGCTGGAGAGGAAACCCAGGTCAAGCTGAAGTTACTATCATATAGGACAAAGAAAAGTGTTAAAATCTCACAGCTCAGAAGCTGTGATTCTTAAATAGTGTGCATTTTTGCTTGAACAAAAAAAATAACTTGTTTAATTTGTTTTGGCAGATGAACTAATCAAATAATTGGTTATGTCTGTGCAGTTAAGAAAATAAAAAAAACCCAGTCATTAAAAAAAGATATTAAATGCTAATCTACTTTGGTGAATTGATGCCTCTCTGTTTTTTAACTCCTCACCTCTCTTTGCACACTTGTGTCCAATTTCAGAGTCTGACACCAACTCGGACAGTGACATCTCTGGGAAGAAGGTGAAGGAGTTAAAGCTGCTGCCATCTGGATCATCTAAGAAGGAGATGACTCCCCACAGGCTAACCAAAGGCCCAGAACTACTGAACACCTCAACGAATCACACCGCCACCAGCTGCTCACCACTCAACCTCCAGGTCATCAAGACTCCCACCATTGCCACCAGCTCCAGTGCCTTGGCCTATCACAGCTCTCCAGGCTCTTCCTCCTGCAGCCTAGCCTCTCCGTTAGGTAATGTATTCAAAATGCTGCATTGGGAAAAGTATTAATGCAAGAGGTGAAGGATGAGTTTTAGTAGGCTCTCTCTTGCTGGATCTTTTCAGTCTCACAAACAACACTGTAGTATGCTGCTGGAGTAAATTATTTTTCCCAGAGGGAGTATATTCCCATCAGCCTCATATGAAGTGATTGTTACATTTAGGAAGGCAGGAAGAAAGCAGTTGGTTGTCTTAGCTTACCCAGAGCTCTGAGGTCCTGCAGGGCCATGCTCGAGAGCCTCGACAACTTGTTTGGCACAGCAACAAGGTTGATTTCTGCCTTTTTCAATGCAAAGAGATTACCCAGATCAGAGGAAATAGAATATAAGTGCAGCTTGCCAGAAATATTTCAAGCAGACATTTCCAGTCATCTACTCTAAGTGACATTTTCTCTTATGTGTGTTTTGTGCTCACACTTATGAATGTGTGTAAATATATATACCATAGACATGGTGTTAGTAAATTTCTTAAGTTAAGGAAATCTGAACTTAAACCATCTCTCCACAGGTTTAGGAAAGCGGAAGAGGGTGATGGATGAGAAGGAGTTGATGATACCTCTGGAGTTAGGGTACGTATAAGTGACGGATTTCAACAAACACACTCGGGTTACATTTTGCTTCAGCCACAGATGTACTCATTTTTTTGTTTTTGTTAACATAGTGTTATTTATTCCGTCTCCCAAACCTAGGTGGCGGAGGGAAACTAGAATCAAATCGGTGGCTGGACGGCCGCAGGGCGAGGTGGCCTACTATGCCCCTTGTGGCAAGAAACTGAGGCAGTACCCAGATGTGATGAAGGTACCTGGGCCTCATGGCCTCACAGCACGCTTTGAATCCGTGATACAGATTCTTTTGGGCAAAAAGATGAGCGGTTTTGTTTGTAACAGCAACTACTGCGGGATGGTTTATGATTTATCACGGAAGGATTTTTTCCCCCCTCTAATAACAGCAAAACCGCTCATCCACATTGCTCAAAGAAATGCTTATGTATCAGGATTTGTTCTATATTATCTATGCTACTGCTCCAGCTGTCCCTCCAAACCCCCACCCCATGCCTCCACCCTCCCTGCTTTCTGTGACCATAATAGTGACAGATGATATTCTTAGATTCACTTCTTGTGCCACTTTTTTCACCTCTCCTTCTCCCTCCCCGCCGAATGATTAATGGTTAGTGTTGGGATGCACGACTTTGGCCCCATTTGTACAATTTAATATGACCTGCGGCCTTCTTTGTTTGTTTCATCAAAAGCACAAACACACAGATTGTCTGAACTGCCTTTTGAGTGTTGTCGTGCAAACACACGCGCACACACACACACACAAAAAAGAAAAAAACTCCATGCAGTAACATCCACTCGCTGCTAGTCAGGCAGGCAGTAGGCAGTAAAAGCCTGGCGATGCCACAGATAAATAAGAAAGGGCCTGAATTGTGCACCCCAAGGTCAGAACCATTTTTCCCTCCTGAGAGCTGTTGCTCTTTTTTTTTTTTTTTTTTTGTCCCCTGGCTTTTATAAAGATTAGCAGCACTGCACCGATGCACTGTAACCGTAGACTCCCTTCCATCTAGTGCCTCCCAGTTGCTTTTCAATGTCGCTAATTTTCACATTTTTCCTTTTTTTTCTGCCTAAACCAACGCCATTATTATTTTCTCTTCTGTAGTATCTATCCAGAAATGGAATAAGTGGCATCACGCGTGATAATTTTAGCTTCAGTGCAAAGATAAGGGTTGGTGACTTCTATGAAGCCAGAGAAGGACCCCAGGTGACTGCCTTTCATCTCTCTCTCTCTCTTTCCCTGATCCCTCTTCATCTTTTCATCTAGCGGCAGGCAAAGCTTCATGCAGCAGTCACTGTCAGGGCATGAGTAGGAATCAGCCAAAGCCCTCAGTAGTCCTAGTTCATAGACCTCGCACTGTGCATGGAGAAATGTAATAATCAGCTGACATTACTTCCACAGGTGACCACTGATATACTCCATGTAATGTCAGTGTGTGACACAAAGAGATAAACTAGGAAATGGATGTGTGTTTCTAATTGGAAGCAGAATAGAGGAAGTGCTAATATAGAAATACAGCAGTGCTGAGGGGCAAGAGAAACAGAATTCTTATTTAATCTGCTATTTAGCCTGTGTTTTATTGTGAATCACTTAAAATGTAATGATATATCATTTTCAGTCTCTGCTGAATGCAGAGCCTAGCAACTAATGATTTAATTGTCCTTTAGTCACATGAACTGATTCATGCTGGCAAGTCATTCACTGTTGCATCTCTCCACATCCCTCCCAATCTCTCTTTCTCTACTTTATTTTCTGTCCCTTTTTCCAGGGTTTACAGTGGAGCCTGTTGAAGGAGGAGGAGGTCATACCTCGTATTTTGGCAATGGAAGGCCGAAGGGGTCGTCCCCCAAATTCGGAGCGCCAGTTAGCAGGCGAAGGTGCCAAAGGTAACCGACGAAGGAAGGGACGACCCCCTAATGTAGGCGATCCACTGGCGCCTGAGGGCCCTAGTCCCAGTCAGGTCAAACTTCTGCGCAAACTAGAGGCTCAAGGTTAGCAGAGGAAATGAGCCCTGAAATATGTTTGTCATAAGTGTGTGTGCCATTCATCAACCAGCTATTATTCGGGTAGCTAACGACAGCGAAGGGGTCACAGTTTCAATTTTTTTTTTTTTTAGCACAAGGACAAGTTTTTTCTGTCTTCTGTTTTTTTGTCAGGCTTTTTTGTTTGAGCCACCTACTTTATCTGAATAATACTAACAACAATTACTTGTCAAGATGAATCACCATTGTTAACATGTCTTGTTTTTGTGCCTTTGTGTTGCTTAGCAAAGCCCTGCAAACCTGATTTTTCAGCCCTACCTATGTAAAAAATATTTGACATGTATTGCAGTATTTTAAAAATGCTAACGGATAAATATATCACTCTAAGTTTATTGTTGCAATTGCTAAACTTTATAAATGAAACCTTAGGAACGATCCCAGTTATTTATATGTCCAGTACAACTACAGAGGTTACTCACCGGCACCGCTTTTGTTTCCACTTTGCAGAAATAGCCCGTCAGGCGGCACAGATGAAACTGATGAGAAAACTGGAAAAGCAGGCGCTGGCACGTGCAGCCAAAGAAGCTCGGAAACAGCAAGGTAAGCGAGTACAGGGCTGTAAACATGCTGGCGGAGGTTATTTAATTGGTCAGTCGGTCACTTCAGACTACTTTGATCTAAATCAACAGAGTATAAAGCCCGGCAAGAACTCATATTGCTTGTATAGCCTTTGTTTGCAAGTAGGTTCAAAACTGTTTTCATCATTTTTTAAGCTTTAATCTTCTTTCTCCTCTAATCTTTATTGCATCCAATCTCAAGACTGTTTGCTTAGCTCTCGCTTAAATTCAGAGATGTAGCTAGACATGTTATACATTCAGAAATGTATAATGCACCAGAACATTTAAACAGTGGAAAACAATTTTGATCCCAATCCCGAAGATCACTTAGATTTTTTTAATTTAAGTTTTCCAACTAGACAGCTCAAATCCATCGAGTAAATGTGCTGACACGAGGGACCCAAACATGAATACCAGCCACTTGTGACTTAACTGTGGATGTACCCTGTAGCTGCTGTGTATCTGTGTGGGGCCAGTTGTTAATGAATTTGTCCCTCAAGGATCCATGTTAGGCCCGCTGATATTTACCTTGTACATAATGTCATAATATCTGACAGATGCAGTCCAGTATTGTAAATGCTTAGAAATCCGCTGAGGCAGCTTGTTTTCCTTCATGTGTATGTATCTGTCTGCAAGTTCAAAGGTAATTCTGAATACTGATTAGCTAGGTTGGGGCGATGATTGCTGATCTCTCATGGATCAGAATGTCTTGGGCGATCTGGGCACTAGCTGGGCTCCAGTTTGTCTCTTGACAACAGTAATAAACAATAAATCCCCCAAACTGTCTATATTGGATTGTGGAGATCTCCTTAAAAGCATTAAACAAAGCCAATCACAGTGCCATTCAGTTTGTTAAACAAGACAGCATTTTCATCCACCTTACTGCTGTGAGTTTGATGAAAAAGTTGGATGGTCATTACTGGCGTGAAGAGAGCATCGGCTGCTGGGATATTTAACACCCTTAGTTCCCTTCAGTGCTAATAACCACAACAACAGACCGAAGAAGGCTCGCACAAGGAGCCAGGGCCAAGTTTTAATGTTTACAGACAGCAAGCAAATAAATGAAAGCGGAAAATAACTTTTCAAACTGGAATGAGCTGTAGCTGCAGCTCCTTCCAGGAGCTCTGAGAGGGTTTTTTGTAACTCTTTCAGTCGGCGTGGCCATGTGTCTGTATGAGTTGTTTTGAGTTAAGCGATTCATGATGAATTGAGCTATCATCTGTAATTATCAGACCTGACCTACAAAAGTGATCATGAGGTCGCTGAGATTTCCTGCATAAGCGAAGCATAAATGTTCACAAATTAACCAAAAATAAGCACAAATGTCAGCGTCCTGAAAATTAGGATTGAGACATGATAGTGAGAGACCTGCTGTACCCTAAAGCCATAGATGTAAAGTGTTGTTTAGATTCTAAATAAAATGTGCCATTTTAGCGAGGTCGTCTATGCATGTCGATTGTTTTCGAGTCACGGCCTTATTTTTACAGTACTCTGCTTTAATTTAGTCCCCTGAATTTCTCCGTGCCTTGTTAAAAAAAATACATTGTGATTTCAGCGAGACCTCTTAAATAAATAAAGCGGAACAACTCCGAGTCTCTCAGATATGAATCCAGTTGGAAGCCCGTGTTTTCATAGGTCACTTTTCTAGACACTGATGTAACACTGATTTGACTCTTGTAGCTATCATGGCAGCGGAGGAGAGAAGGAAGCAGAAAGAGCAGATCAAGATTCTCAAGCAGCAGGTGGGTCTTCTTTGTGGGTGTGCTGACTGCATTTTTCCCGTCTTTTCCTTATCTAAGTGTCCTGACACACACACTCCCTGTGAGCACTGCGGGAAATGTTGAATTGTTATTTTTTGATCCTTTAAAGCTTACTTTTCAATTACCATTATTACTTGTAGTGCTAAACTTGTTGTTGGGACTTTCTGCCCGGCCCAATTGGAATAGAGTGGTTGGAAAGTGATTTTATCTGGGGATGTCTAAAATATTAAGAGATTATGTTTTTCTTTTTTTTACAGGAAAAGATCAAGCGTATTCAGCAAATTCGGATGGAGAAGGAACTCAGAGCGCAGCAAATTTTGGAGGTACAGAATCTGATCCAGCAGCACCTCTGATTAAGCAGAACATTCCTGGATAGCTACAGCCCCTCAGTCTATAGTGTTTTAATCTTCCTAAAGCTCATTACTGAACAGCAGCATGCATTGGAGGGAGTTGCGTCTTCTTAGGCATAATTCCACATGGAACTAATGCTAAATTGGTCTTGGTTGACGGCTGTTGAATATTAAAATGGCTGTTGCTGCCTCTTCAGACCTTATTTAAATTGGACAGAAAAGTCTTTTTTTTTTTCATCAGACAACAGTAACAGTTTAGCATAAGTGGGTCGAGGGGGGAAAAAAAAGGTGCCGTTTTCTACACACAAACACACATCCAAGGATGCAGACACGTTCACACAAACACACACATATGCAGGGCCACACAATTATACTGTAGGAGCTTCAAAGTGTTTTAGCAGGACTAAATCAATTTTGAGTTGACACGGTTGGCAAGCCACTCTTAACAGGAGGCTTCAACATTTTCACAATTACGTGTTAAAGAGATACATTATTCATTTGCTGTGTTTTACAAATTTGACTGGCATTCAGGAGCATGAAATCTTTGCTCAAACCAGAAAACTGCAAACAATCAGTTAAAGTGCTGCAGAGCTCAAGTCTGATTGGACTTGATGTGCCTGAATGATATACATCTCCGTGATTCTTGACTTTAATCTTTATTCAAAGGCCAAACGGAAAAAGAAGGAAGAAGCCGCCAACGCCAAAATACTGGAGGCTGAAAAGCGTATAAAGGTATGCTTACAAATGAAACTCTTGGAAAAAATATGGAAAACTGTGATATACCTTTATTTATTTATTCATTTGTCTTCAAGAATCCTGTTCATTGAATTGTATAATTCATTTACCGTGTTGTGGGGCTTTTCCATCAGCCTGTATTTGTACTTTTCACGATATTAATACAATGGAAGCATATTGATTTTTCTCTCATCTTCTCATTCTCGCCTTCAAGGAGAAAGAGTTGAGGAGACAGCAAGCGGAGATGCTCAAACAACAGGTAGGCACTCTAAACAACTTACTGAGCCTCTTGAACCTCATAGTTACTGCTGAATAAAACCATTTACCTCAGACTTGAATAAAAATTTGAAGGTGCGTGTGCGTGTGTGGATGTGTTTATACTTTGTGAATTTAAATATAGGCATGCGTGAGTGTGTGTACGTGAGTATTTCTCTGTTTAAAACGCCTTGCTTATTGGTATTGGATATTACTTCTGTTCCATAATATTTTGCCAACTCTCTCTGCCAGGAGTTGGAGAGGCATAGACTAGATATGGTATGGGTATGTTTATTTTTGTACATCTAACACCTGCATCGTGTAACTGGTTGTGTTATGGTTGTCATAGCAATGCATTAAGTGTAGCACTGGCTGCTGTCATACTACATTCTTCTGCATGGCTTTCCAGCAAAACCAACAAAAGAGAGAAAGAGTCAGTATGCTGCCTCCATCTGCTCGTCCTGAGGGACAACTGACCCTGTCACGGTGGCCAGGCAGCTTCTTTCCCCCTCCCCCCATCCTCCCCTTCTACTCAGAATGCATTGCAAAGACTGCTAGCCAATCCACACTCACTGTCTCAAAGTGCGCTCGAGGAGTTTCCATCCATCACATACATTGTCTAACTGTTGTATTGGAGTAGCCTGTGTTACCCGTGAGTGCTTGACGATTTCGGCTCAGACGTTGAGCTTGTGTCTGTTCGTCCGTGCATCTGTTCTGCAGTCCACAGAGTGCTGGACTTTAACCTGCCCCATCCTGGCCTCTCTGTCATTCACTGTTCCTATACTCTGCACAATGAATGAAAACAGCTACTGAGAGTCATTTCGTCTTCATGGTGGAGACACTTACAGGCAGATTTCCCACCAGTTTGGTGCGGGCACCTTGGAATAAAAAAAAAAAAAGACCTTTGGGGGGGAAAAAACAGAACAAGAATACAATCATCTTCACCATGGGGACTGTATGGTTCTATGTAGCTTTTTATTTTAGCCTGGCTCTCCTGCTTGTAGCCCTTCTTACTCATACACACTCACACACACAGTCGCAGCTGAATCTAAAGGTTCGCCTTCCTGTCGTGGACCAGGCCGATTACTGCATCAACCTCACGTGCACTACAGTGTTTGAAATTAGGAAGCGCGTTTAATCCCATGTGTTTAAAGTTGTCTCGTGTGGCCGTATCGCACTTGATTTATTGCAGTTTATTATCATAAAAGCCTTTAACGTCTTCGTTGTTTTTGATGAATTGGAAGAAGCTGAATGCCACAGGCTTTCTGTCGTTTTTCAAGTTTTCCATTTGTAGATAAATCAAACAAATAAGCACAAAGAAATATTGCGGCAGAGTGCTTGGCATCTAGCCTGTTTTGTTTATCACAATGACAAAACAGTCCTCACAAAACAGCCCATTTTAGTCAGCGAGAACTGGAAATGTCCTTGGCAAGCCCTAATAGTGGCAATTGTGTCTTTCTGGTGGATCACAGAGGGAATGACAGCCTGATATGGAGGAGCGGGAAACCTTAAGAGATCAAATAAAATGATAGTCAGTCACCAGTGATTCCTGTGCCCTTTGGCAGTAGACTGTGTATCATGCACCAAAGAACAACACAGACGTCTCATCCTCAGCAGTCACATACTGTGCTAACACTTAAGCTGCCAAAACCACTGAAGTGAAACTGCTCAGTTTGTAGTTACACCTCACAATCCATTCCTCTTTATAACCCCCTACTAAATATTACAGGTGTGATGTGTCCCCCCCAAAAAAGGCGATATCATTGATTCATGTAGCAGAATTGATTGTTTTTATCATAACTCTAATGACATGTGGCATGTCAGATGACTTCCGGCAACTAGTGTTTTGTTGCTTTTGTTGTGTCAGCTCTAGTTTAGAGGCGCCGTCACCGATTCCAGCTGCTTCTCTTTTTGAGCCTGTCATCACATCTATTTTGTACCGCATCTATGTGTTGCTTTTTGGTTGTCATTGTACTACTGTACTCTTCACTTATGCTTCCACCATACATGTGAAAGTGTATACATGTGAAGCATTGTTCTGTGTTTGTTCAAGTATGGTGCCTCTACTGAATTTAGTGCATCACAGTTTTACATTAATGCACAATTATACTAAGGCTGGCCTTGACTACTGTATGTACAACGTGTGCTTGTTAATGTTTGCCTGTTTTTTGTTTTTTTTTGCCCCTTTAGGAGAGGGAAAGGAGGAGGCAACATGTAATGCTGATGAAGGCTGTTGAGGCTCGCAAGAAAGCAGAGGTAGCCCATATGCACGCAAATAAATGCAGAAACACACACGGGCGCACAGTCCACTCCATAAAAAGAGCCTAAGTCATTATTCCCTCGATGGATTCCTGCTTCCTCTCCTTTATGTGCGCTCTTTCCCTTCATTCATTTTTTTTTCTGCACACTTACCAAGTCAAAAGATTCTGGCCCTCAAGCACTTTTCCTTTGAATGCACAGCAGCATTAGGCTGAATTCTAACACAGCTCAGCAAAGTCAAGTAAACCTTCTTGTCTGTTTTCTCACACACACACACACACACACACACATACATTTTTCTTTCCTAATGCTCCCTTGAATTTTGGACTCTCTAGGAGCGTGAACGCTTGCGGCAGGAGAAAAGGGATGAGAAGCGTCTGAACAAAGAGCGTAAACTGGAGCAACGGAGGCTGGAGCTGGAGATAGCGAGGGAACTGAAGAAACCAAATGAAGATATGTGTCTGTCTGATCATAAGGTATCTTATTATTATTATTATCATTATTATTAT